TAAAAGAAGCATGGCTGAGGATTCAGCAAACTCTTGCGCCTCAGCTTCGAGATCGCTATTCGGCAAAATTCAAGTTGTATCAGGTGAAATACGTGAGTTTTGGGCATGCATGGGTGTGCGATGAGTGCATGCATAAAGGTCTTAGTTCTGGCATTTTGACATATTAGGAATTTGAAGGGATTAGAATGTCACTATGCAATTTACAAGCATATGTTTAGACCCTCATGCAATTTGAACCTCTGCAACATCTTCCTTAAAGTTTTCACTTGTAAAAGTCTTTCATAATCTTTGCAATCATGTTAATGGCGCAGTTATGTTTCTAAAGAAGATAAGTTTTGGCTACCTATCAAAATTACATGTTGAGGACAAAGTTCTCAGTGCGGCTTGTTGCAAGTCTCACCCTGTTGAAATCCCTTCAATTAAACGTTGGTTTGTCAGCTTTGAATTTTGATACAAATCCTTGAATGATTGTTCTGAATGATAAGGGTACAACAACTGTAGAATTGACAGGAATAAAGATCAGATTATGTTATTTTTGTACAGTTGGTAGCCTTGTTTAAACACTAGTGAACACTGCATGTTCAGACCGCATGCAGTGTTTAAGATGTGCTGGAGTCTGCTTTCCTCATCTGGCCTTTGTAACACTCGATGTGCACTCTTCGAGCGGCAGGCTCTTGAAGAGACAAATACGGTTGTGCAAACCTCTTGAGTCAAATGACTAGCATGTGATTAGAGAGACAACGTAGATTTACGCTGAGGATGTTGCGGAGTCTGTGAAAAAGAGGGTCAAGTTGTAAGAATCCGAATGACTTCTTAGATACGTGACTGCAGCTAGGTAGCTTTTTGCGCTCCATCTGTAATCTACGATGAACCTTACTCTGAACTGGATGGTCCAAATAATTCATGAGACAATCAAAACATATTATTTTCTTTTTTACCAACTGTTGTCAAGAGTAATTTAATGGCAGCTTGGTTGTCTTCTGCAAATTCTCTGAGCAAGGCAGTTCATTAAGAGGGATTGATCTCAAGGCTGTGGTAGAAGAAATCTATGAGTTCTTAGATGTGCTAACACTGAGATCAGGTATGGGATAGTCTTCCACAAAACGCTTTTTGGGACATTTTGCTCGCTGATAATGGAAATTCATGCAATGGGCGTGCCTTGTTAAGTGGTGCAGATCTGCTTAAACGGCAGCAGGCCTGTTTTTAGTGGCAAGATTGATGATGTGGTGAGATTTGAACTGGTTAATGGTAAATCCCCAATCAATAAATTTCATACTGAGGGATTCTTATAAAAAATATATTGAGTAAGTTTTCCAGGTCTAACACCGAGAAATTGAATGAAAAAACTTGGAGGTCAACATCAAATGGTACACAATGGAGGCATGTTAACACTAACGTTTTCATTTTCACGATGTATACATGTTCTATTATATTAGAGAAAATTCATAATAAATTTAGATCTGATGGTTAGAGATCAACTTTCAGCCGGTGAAGATATCTCTGAATTTCATCAATCTTTAGGAAATAGCAAAGAAGATCCATGAGTGACGCGCTTTTGTGGACTCTGCTTCATCTCAGTTAGATATTATGCTCTCTGTCTAACAGACTTGGCGTCTAGAGAATTTTCCAGTTATTACTTTGACAGCTGAACGAAGCTCAGGGGATCTGAGCACACATGCCGGTTCACAAACGAAAGCTCGGACGGTTTGCTTTTGATAAGCTGACTTTTGAAGTGGGCTCCACTCCCACTGAGATGGCCACGAAAGAACGATGCGGACTGCTTTTCCGGAATCTCATTGAGCCTGGTGTACCAGTAAGTGCTCCAGTCCTTGAGCTGAAGAATCTCGTGCCTGGCTACGTACTAGAGCGCGTTGAAATCTAGTATGTAGAAAAAAATATCCCGATCGATTGTGTGTCTGATCCTCGCCTGACGATCGCAGGAAGGGAAGGGGATGATATATGTTTTCTAGGCGCTACATATCGTAGGGTCTGTCTTCCCGTAGGTCTTCATGCAGCAAGGTTCTCCTTTTCCCGGTCCAATTGTACATGCAGTTTTACACAATCGCAGAGTACTCTGCGATGCGATGCATTCTATGCCAATGTACTTCCACATCACATCATCTTTGCTACAAATTATTCTTTTTGATATCAGAATAAGCTGCACATCAAACACCTCTTTCCTTCTGAGCTCACAATAAATATTCGCTTCCGTGAGCTTCTCTTTATACATCCTCTACGAATTTTCTTCAAACAAGAATCCTGATTCTCACCGCTACTTTTGATCCAGATCGCTTGCACTTCACTGTTTCTACTTTGCACAATCGTTTTGCGTTCAAAGTTATTTCTCTTTATCTGATTATCTATCATCACACCCTGATGATAGATAGACGTGTCCCAATCTGATTATGTGTAGCGCCCCATGCAGAGTGCATGTGCGCCCAGCACGCACATGCTATCACAATGCGACGGGAAGTTAAGTTATCTCCGGGAGAGGCGAGCTTGCGGATCGAGGACATGGACTCTTGTATGCCACCGCGCATGCCAAGCAGCGAACGTTTCTTCCTCTGTGAGAGTGGAGGAGAGAATGGAAGGTTGAGATGCGTCCATCGTCAGTGACGCAGCTGAGCTCGCGACACGTAGAATTGACTCCGAGACAAGGAACCGGAGCATCCCTCCGCTGTCCAGGACCTTACATGGCGTCTGGAAGACAAAGTCGAGACTCTCCGGTAGCTTCCCACATTAAGCGGACCAGAATTTCGGAAGTGATTTCCGAGCGTGTTCTCGACCATCATAGAGTGCCGATTCCAAGTGCACCTTCGAGTGCTGGACGCAATCGGCAGCTGCAAGTTCTGGAAGTGTGAAAAATGTGTGGCGGTGAATTTATCGTCGTTGAAGGCACGCGAGTGGGAGGTAGTTTTGAGCGGTTTCAGGTCTAGCACCGTTCTACGAGAGATAATAGTTGAAGGATGTACATGAAGTTGGAGTTCAGATAGGGAAGTGTAGAAGTTGAGTTTACAGCCGGGGAGAATTCCGATTACCTCTAGAGTAACACCTGTAGTTCCTATTCTAAGATGAATGTTAACACACACTGGTAAAAGCCATACTCGCCACGAAATGCAGGGGCGAAGTGCAGCGTAAATTATCAAAATATGGAGCCTTCAGCTGCACGAAGTGAGAACTTGAGAAATCAAGACTCTCAAAAGTGACATAAATTCCGCTTTTGTTTCGCTTAGATGAGAGAAATTCTTTATATCTGGACGAAGAAAATTGTTTCACGGAAATCCTTGAGACTGGATGAGCAGTTTTTGATCCAGGTCATCTACTATTGACTCCAGACTGATGATAATAAAGCTCGCATCTGCTAATCCAGAAATGAAAGACCACTGGTAAAAATGTTGATGTGATATCCTATATTTGTTCCGAATGTCTCGTCCCTGTCTCGATTCTTCCCATCTCCATCTTTTTACTTGAAGGTATTCGAGGAGTCTGAGCACGCTGCCTCCTCGAACATGCATAAAGAATCATCGGCATCCCAGCATTTCAGTTTCAGTAAGAATTTTCACTAAAGCCACCCCCGCCGGGCTTACGGCCGGGGCCATTCATGCGAACACCGGCTGTACAGCCTGCTAAGTCAGTAGCTATAGTTGACTGCCGTGAGCGAGAGCTACTGGCTGTCTTGCCTCTTCTCTCTCCAGTCTTCTATTCGAACTTTCGCCTTCTTTTCTTGCCATATCCGCGGAGTAATTCGCCTGACACTGACCCTAAACACCTCTTTAAACTAGACCATCAGTGAAAGGCATGGAGTTCCATAATTTCAAACGAGTCAACGTTGCTTCTGGTGGAAATGGTAGTTTCTTTCTGATCTATTCATGCAACGCATCACTCTTAGAAAGGTAGTGTTGATTACAGAGAGCCTGAAAAAGAAGGCATCTGGAATCTGAGTAGTCGATGTGACTGATTGACTACTCAGATTTGTCATAATTGTTCACTCGTGTTGATTCAAAGCCCATCCACTGGGGTAAAATCATCTTCAAATCTTGGTTGCGACTGGCGACCCCTCTCGTTCTTATCATTTACTGTGAATCTCAAATTATCATTTTGAAGAGCGCTGGCCTGCTCCTCGTTGCTGCAATCTGAGATGTAATAATCTTACTCGGTGGGATTCAACGCGCAGAAGAACATCGTATAGAGAATTACCCACTTTCACGTAAAAGCGTCCTTTCTGCTGCTTTCTATTCAAAGCATTTTCAGACTGGCAGGATGTTTTGGCTGGGTTGGGTTGATTTTACGTTTTTATGTGGTTTAAGTTCACAAGGCTTGAAATATGTCGCAGCAGTATCGTCAGCAGGGTTAATAATTCCAAGGCAAATAAGGATTATCGAAGGAATGCAAGATGGATCCGTACGTAGGATTTTCAAAATGTTTTCTGATTCTGGGATACTGATTGACCCTGCCTACCAATCTGGTGGCTTTCTGTGTAGTCTTCTTGCTGTGATGACTAGCCATCAACACAGCTCAGACAGTACGCTTCCTAAATGCGAGACAGAAAACTTCTCTTCTTGCAATTGTCGAATGCAGGCCTCTCTAGTTTTCGGTATGCCTGATTTTAATCGCGTCGCGACTGGTGTCTCTACTTGTATGTTCTCCTTCTATCAGTTCGTGAATTGAGATTTACGCTGAGATATAAACAAAGCCCTGATATCACACCCTCTACGCTCAACCGCTTGCTCGAGACCATCAATTGTAAATCTGGGGGTTCATAAAATGAACATGTATTCGAGAGTTACAAAGCCAAATGAATGAACTATGCTCTGATTGGTATGAAGCCCCAACGCACCAACATTTTCCTTCAGTCTTGAAAGCTAATTCCTGTCGCGTAAGAAGGTACATGTCAAAGCTCACCCTCACAGGCCATACGATATGGTCTATCCAGCGATGTCGAATTGATTGCATGCTCACAAAACTAATAATCATTCACCAGCATAAGACATTGATACTTTATATCCTTAGTGATGATCGGTGAATCAAAGCCTAACTGAAGTATTTTTGGGTTTTTCAAATACAGGTAATTTTGTATTTCGCAAATCAGAGCCTTGTTTCAACATCACCTCAATTGTAAAGCTTCCGATCGCGAAATGTAAATAAAGGATCCTGAAGCAGGAACACTTTCACAGTAACAGTCACTTCTATGTCTACCAGAATTTTCAATTGAGTGCTCGGAGATTGGTATGACAGCATTCTCAGTAAGAAATTACTTGACATCGCGTTACTAAACTTTAGGATTGACTTACAGTGATGGGCCGGAGCAATTCGCCACCACAATTCACAGCAAAGATAATATTGACGGCGATCCAAAATCGCTCATCGTTGCTCAGCATGCTGCAGCGTTGACATCTTCACTTCTCCGCGCATTTGGCTCCTGAAACTAAGCGAAGAAAGCCGAAAGCAAGAAGAGCGAGGGTTCGAATTGAAGACTAGAGAGAGGACGCGGGAAAGACAAGATCTCTCTGATGCTCCGTCTCCATACCCAACACCCAACACCTCTCGCTCAACTCTATCGACTTACTCAACAGTTCGTCCGCCCGAATAGTGCTCGTTTGAAGGGACCCGCCCGTGCTCCATACCAGTGAAATTCCTACTCGCTCCGAATTTTAGGGGCGAAGTGGAGCGTAAAGAATGGATCAATGAAGGCTTCATGCATCATATGCGAGACGAAGCGGAAACTTAAGAAATCAAGACTCTCGAAACAGACAGAAATTCTTCTGTATTGTGCTGAAACATATCCTGTTTCGCTTAGACTAGAGAAATTCTTTCTATCTGGACGAAGAGAATGGTGTACATAAACTTCAGAATCTCAGAGACTGGATCAGCAGTTCTTGATTCAGGTCATCTACTATTGACTCGAGCCGTGATGATAATAAAGCTTGCATCCAGAAATATAGGGCCATTAGAAAAACTGTTGATGTGTTATCCAATATTTTGTTCCGAATGTCTCTTACCTTGTCTCGATGCTTCCCATCTTTATCTTTCTACTAGAAGGTATTTGAGGAGTCCGCATTGCTGCCCTCCTTGAACCTGTTGAACATGCAGAAAGAATCATCCACATCCCAGCATTTCAGTTCTAGTAAGCCATGTATCAGGTCATGGTTGACTCGCTGAGGTATATCTGTGAAAGACGCTGATAACATGCTTGTGCTGGCCCTGATCTCAACACAATGGTAAGCGCCAGCACGCTCAGAACTGTGACGTGTATAAATGCGGTATTTCGTAGCACGCATGCTTTTGCAGTTGGACTGCGTGTGGACGTTCAGTTACAAAGACTCTTCCAGCAATTTGACTTTAAGGTCGAGAATATTATATCAAAGAATGGAGAACATCGTCTGCTGAATATCAAAGTGAGCGCGATTCTCGTTCAACTCGACTCCGATATTGTGTACAGTATCATCACGCAGAATATTAATGATGTATCAGAAGCACGGTCATGAAGTGGACCAAGCTATCCTTGTGTAAGGATGATGATCATCAGCTGTAAATACTGTATCGAGCAGAGAGACAAGAGCTCATGGTCAATGGGATGACGAGGACGGAGATGGATATCGATCCTGGATTCGGTACATCACTCGAGATTATACATCTTCCAACTAAATCTCGGATATCTGCACGATCCGACCACAAGCATTGTTCAAGATGTGGACTTTCCTCACATGGCATTCGCAACACTCGTCGTGCATTCTAGCGGCAGGCTCTGGAAGAGACGAAACCAGCGGCACAGACATGCTGTGTCAGATTTTTGGCCTGTCATTGGAGAGACCCTGCAGTTTTGAGAGAGTTGTAGAGTTTGTGAGAAAAGATATAAGAATACGAATGACTTCTTAGATATGTGACTGCAGTTAGCTAGATTTGTCACGTTCAATTTGTCATCATTGTTTAATTTACTCTGAACTGGGTGGTCGAAACAATTTGTGAAACAATCATAACAATTACTCTGTTTTTTTTTTTGGAACAGTTGTCAGGATGTGAAAGAGACTAGTCTGTTGTAAATTCTATGCGCAAGGGAGTTTATTCAAAGAGTATTGATCTCAAAGCTGCAGTAGAATAAGTCCGTAAGTTATTACATGTGCTAACGCTCATATCAGTTACTGGAAAGTCTTCCTTAGAACATATTTAGAGACAATTTGCTCCGTGATTCTCGGAGATTCCTTGGATCCGGCGTGCCTGGCAAGGTGGTGAATATTTGCAGACTCCGGTATTAGAAATGTGCATGCGCTCGCATGCTTGACAGCTGAGGTAAGAGAACAATCATTCCAGCACTTGAGAACCTCGAATATTCTTATATTCTGTACAAAGTTATTTGACATTATGTCTAGTGAACCCCCATAAAGTTTATCGGTTTGTCCTGATCCCACGAGATATGCAGAGTAATGTAGACTCCTGTACCGATCTTCAAAGCCAGGAAAAAGCACAACATGCTCTGCCCTCCGAGCTGATTTCCCATGTGCCACTCAGTTGTCAGAGTACATCCACTTGATTGAATATATCAAAGATTCCAGGAAGAAGGATTGAATGAAGATGACGATTGAAACTCTGTAGTCACCGCGACCACATCGAGTGTATCAGTAGACTGATGCCTTCACTCAAGTATGTTATTCGCTAGCACAACAAAGTCAAGATTTACTCTGATTTTTTAAAAACATTGCCCTATCGCGCGTGTGAATGGAGGAACACGCTTAATATGTTTGCATGTTGTAGTCACCTCCATAGCCAACATGATTGTGCACACTTAAGTGCAAGAATCTCAACATGATTGCAGTCAACTTGTTTACCATTTCAGCTTCATCGTATAAAGTCAGAGTACAATTATCGATGGGTTGAAGATCTTCCATCTAGTCAGGTTACTCATTGTTCCAAATTGGTACAGTAACGTTCAGTTTAAGTAGGCATACCGGGTAAGTGTGCATAATTTTTTCCAAAAATGAGCATCAACATTTATTCTATTTGAAAAATCATATATTTTCAAGAAACATTAAGAGGAAGTCTGAAGTTTTTTGCATCACCTTTTGCAACAATCATCGCATTGTGATTGATTTAGTCTAAGTTGATAAACTATATACAATACCTTTTGTCTTGGCCTATGGCAGAATAGAAAAATTGGCACTACAAATGCCATCAATCTAAATATAACGTATTTCAAACTCAATAAAACAATAAACAGTATTGAAAAATATTCTATTTAGTTTCACTAGAAATTAAATCTTGTTTCTTTTGGATTTGCTCCCTGTTATCTGTGGTAACACACTTTTTGTTTTTTTTGCAGAATTTAAACAATTTTAGAAAACTAGTACCAAAGCAGTGTTTGTAGCTAGAGAAGGGTACGCTAAATAGAGTGGATTGATGAGATCGTCACGAGGGCACAAAGAATCACGTAGTCGGATGTACCAACGCCAACGTCTTCGGCGCCTTCGGCAAAAGCTCCTTTTTGAGGTGTCTCTACTCACGCGCCTCTAGCGTATAAGGAAGCTACGCTTCCGGCGCAGACACCTCAGGAGGAGGTTTTGCTAAAGACGTCAGGAGAAGGGCCCGGACCTCTAAAGGCATCCGACCATGAGTGCGCCTTCGGCGAAGCGCCGCTAGTGCGGAAAGGGAAAACCTTCATAACAATCGGGATACACGGTAGATCCAGTTGGTTGAAGTTGCATTCGAAAGAGCTCGGGACGCTCGTTCTAACGAGTCCAAGAGCGCCGGAGATGGATCAGGAATGGAGAAGTTATGAGCGTCGGAAAACTCGTAGCCGGACATGCGCCGTTCGCGCTAGGGTTCACAGCCGGAAAGGATTCCCGTACGCCCTCGGCGATGCGCCTTCGGCGGAATCACGCGCTCACAGGAGGAAACCAACTCAGAGTCGGAAGCGCCCTTGGCGGCTGTTCATGGAAGGAAAGCGCCGGTCGGATGTACGCCTCCGACGTGGCGCTGACGGCCGGATGCGCTGGCATGAGTTGCGCTGACGGATATGCGCTGGCAGCAACGGACGAGGCATAAAGGACAAAATAGGCGGTACGACTGCGCGCCGGCGTAATTCGCTCCGGCTGGATGTGCGCCTCCAGCAAGGCGCCGACGGATAATGAACGCACCAGCAGCGACACGCCTCCGGAGAAGGGCGGGTTAGGAAAAGACAACAGGGCCGACGTATACCCTGCAGCGGACTCGAGTCCGGAAGGTGGCGGCGGCGGGAGAATTCAACGTTTAAGCATGCGAATGCGCGCAATGCGGGGACGTGAATTCGCGCATGCAAAGGGCGAACCGTTAAGCCGTATAGCCGGCTGCGTACGTTGCAACCAGTAAGAACGTTGGACGTTCTTGAAATCGGAGAAGAAAAGACTGCGCTCCAGTCTCATTCTCTCATTCTTGACTTTGCAATTTCCAGTTCCAAGATTACGCGCAAGGGCGGAGCGACCTGCAGTGAGAGTAGAGAGTGCGGAGACGAGTTGCACAAGGATCTTGGCGGACCTTGACAGAATTGGGAGTAGCGATCTTGAACGAGCGCAGAGAGAGTGAGCAGTCAGTGCTTGAGTGGCCGACGCGCAGTGGCGATTGTGAGAGAGTGAGCGAAAGGGAGAACGTTTGTGTGTGCAGGCAACGCAATGTCGAAGGTTCCCCAACTGCGAGTGTCTCCACTCAGGGTGCCGCAGATCGGTCTACGCGCATTTCAAGATGTGCTGACGAGGCTGAAGCTCGATTTTCTCCTCTGGGGGTGGAATTGGACGTGTCCGGAGATGGTGCGCGAGTATCTGCAAGAGAGACACAAGCCTTCTCGCGGATTTCGCCCACACCCAGAGAGATGGGAAATTTGCAATTGGGCGCAGGTGTTGGGCAGGTGTGCCGGCGAGGAAGGGGATCTCCTCTTCGAGGCCGACAGCGTGAAAGTGTCCCAGGAGGAAGAAGTCTCTTACAATGAGCTCTTCAAGGTGGCTAGACATCCCAAGAACGGTTTCCGGACTCGGGATTACAAGGATCGATTGCGGAGAAATGTCGCGACAGCATTGCTGCAGATATTGCAGCCGACCAAGACCGCTTACATGCATGGTTGGCAGGTAGAGTTCGTGGAGCTAGTGTTGTCAGGAGCTCCGGTGCATTGGGCACGGCTCCTGTGGAAGGTGACGCGCCAACATGCGCAAGAAGAGAGGGGAGGAACGCTCAATCATCTATCGCCTTACTTAATCGTGTTTTACCGGGCGATGGGATGTTTGACGAATGCTGAGAAAACTCGGTTTCCGCAGCTGAGCCGGTCTTATCCAGGTAGATATTCGAGGGAGGCCGAAGTAGACACGGATCCGGACGAGGAACCTGCCAGTACGCCTCCGGCTCCGGCTCCAGCAAGAGCAGCAGAAGAACGTCGAAGTGAGCGCATTCCGCGCAAGCGGAAGTGGGATGAGAGACCTGAGGACAGGCAGCCGGAAGTACCAGCTGCGCCGACTCGTGGTCGGCCCACCCCCGAGCCTCATAGTCGACCAAAACAGAGGGCACGCAGAATGCCAACTGTTACTGAGGAGACCAGGCGAACTCCGACCCGACGGAATCTCACGCAGGAAGAGATAATTGCTCAGGTCCTAGGGAAGACGGCAGAAACCTCTGCACAGAAGGCACCACGGCCTTCGGGAGGAGATGGACGGACTGACGACCGGCCGACTGCGAGTCGGATGACTGAAGGTCGACAAGCGGAAGAAAGGCCAACTGAACGGCGCGTTGAACCGGACAGCAGGCCGGAAGCGGAAGAGAGTTTGGCTGACGAGCCAACAATCCTCAGAGGGTCGTCTTCGGCGGAAGGCACTTCTGAAAGAACGCCACCAGCAAACAGGCCAAGTGGAGTCAAGACGCGCAGGGTGTATCCGACTCCCAGTCGGACAACTGCTGGTCGGCCGACTGCGAGTCGGACAACAGAGAGTCAGCCGGATTCGCCGACTGCGAGACGGATGGGGCCAACGACCAGTGTGCGGACGCCTTCGGCGGACGCACCTTCAGCAAGGACACCTTCCGCGCAGATGGCGCCGGAAGGACAGGCAGCAGAAGCGGGCGGTGCAAGAGTGACAAAAGTCACTGCGGCGTCGACCCCTTCACAAACCGAAGATCGAGCCGGAACAGGGGCTCAAGCAGTGGGATCTCCCACTGCCCTGGATATTTTAGCAGGCAGTGGAGCAGCAGTCGCAGCAGAAGCTGCTGCGCGCCACAGTTCCAGGGAGTCGCCAAGGGATTCGGTGGCGACTGAGATCCTCGAGACTGAGGATGAGACGAGCTCGGAAGAGCAAGAAGAGGATTCGGTGCAGAAAACGCCAACAGGGGTGCTGTGCGAACAGATAGTTCCACTCCTGCGATATCTGGATCGCAAGACATCCAAATATGGAAGTGCCTTAAAACCGCAGTCTTATGTGGAGACTATCAGGCGAAGGACGAGGATCAAGGTGGCAAAGTGGGCCTCTAGTTGCCAAGTATATGTGGAAAGGAACACCGCCCTCCGACAACACCTGGCGGTCACCCAGAAGCTGTACCAAGCCTTGCAGCAGCAGAAGGAGGATGCGGCGACGAAGAGTCAGGCGGAGGCCGAACTAATACGGGCAAAGATCGAGTTGGAACTGCAGGAGGAGCGGAGACAGAACAACGTCCTAGCAGCCGAGCTTGCGCGCCAGACGCGCGCCTTAGAAGAAAGTCAAAGAGCCCGCAAGGAGGATGAGGAGTTGTTGTGCAGCTTGCAAACCGAGTGCTCGGATTTGAGGGCACAACGTGCGGATTTAGAAATGCAGCTGGCAGAGGTGGAGAGCAGCTGCAGGGCACGA